TTTATGATGTCGAATTTCAGAGCTTTTCGCAAAACTTCAATAAAAAATCATAGGTTCATTATTTTTTGATGCGGCTTGCGCAGAACATCATTAAACAGTTGTGTCTATCACATATATTAGAACGAATGAAATCGGAGACATACCATTGAACACTGTCGGTCGTGGCTTACGTGCAATGGCTCTTAAGACGACTGCCAACTATATATGAGAAAATGATTCATCAATCGTTAGGTTATATCGAGCCTATGCTTTCAAATCATGCTCGTGGTAAAGATCGACGTGCTAGTTTAATATCGAATTATTCAAGAACAATTATACAATATAAATTTGATACCATTGAAAACGTAATACATGGCCGTCAACAAATACTTACGGATTCTTAAAATAAATTGTCACAATGTGTTAATGAGTTATTGATTCAAGTAATTGGAAATCGTAGACAAACCATGGAATAACGTCATGAAACATGTTTAAAATATAAGTTGCATACTTTTTTCGACGAAAATTCGACGACATCAAACGAATGAAGCACTTTCGTGGTCACCGGCGAAATCTGTTGATTCACATTACAATAGCTGCTGCATTATCGTTCATTGAAACTAATTTCAACTTAACTCTCCAACAAATGTGGATGTTTGTTAATGGTCTCAAGTATATTACACTATGCCAAAATCGATATTCTCGTAAACCTCTCGAACAAATTGTTAGTGAACAGTATGAAAATATATCCAATATAATAAAAGATTGTCTTAAAGATCATCGAATACCAGCTGTAGATGAATGAGCAAAACAATCATTTCAAGCATTAAAGCATATCTTATATAAGTAATATGCAACACAATTACAAGAAAAATTGAAATGCGTGCAAAACATGAATATAAAATCGTTTCAAGTATTCAACATCTTGTATGTTGTCGATCAGATATTGTTATACATCGTACAGATACAAACAAAGTATTTTATATTGGTAAACCGGCTGACTTTGCACGAAAAGAAGAGGAATATATGTTAGAAACTGAAACTTATCAAGAAATTATAGATGGTTGTTGTCCTCTGGCTAATAATCTACATGCTGTACAAACTATACTCACTCATCTTTTAACACAAAAAGCTTTAATGAAACAACAATCTAATAGAATATCTCCAAAATTAAACAATTTAGAGGGTGTGGTGTGAGTGTAGGTGTGGATGTGGATCTGAGTGTGGGTGTGGGCATTGATATCATTGAAGAGAATGCAAAAAACAACATTCAGAACAGACAGCTCATACCCACATCCACACCCGCACCCCCTTCCGTACATGTCGTTCAGTTTATTTTGAAACAAAATAGAATGATTCTCATTCTTTTATTTTTATACATTTATTGTAATAGATGTTCGATATGTAACCCATGAGCATAGTAAATTAATCTACAACGCTTTGGCCAATTCTCCAAAGCATGGTAGATTACATCCTGTTCAAGATTTTCCCACTCCTGTTTGATAGCATTTTTCAACCCATTTAATGTTGACACCTTGTGTTTTCTTACCTGTTCTTTCAAAATACACCAAATCGAGTAGTCCATCGGAGCAGCGTCTGGACTCTTAGGTAACCACTCTGCAGGTGTAATAACTTGGATTTTCTTTTCTTTCATATAACTAACTGTCCCTTTTGCTGTATGACCTGGTGCACTGTCTTGATGAAGAATCATTTTCTTTCGTGT